ACATTAACTTTTCGCTCTTCTCCGCTCTGGATCCAACGGCGACTGGTTTCATAAATAAAATGGTGTAATCCTGACTTGCGACGCTTCATTCGGCGTGATCAATCGGTTACACGAAGTAGCAATATTCGGCCACATGCTGATCGATATTGTTCACCAACTTACAGTAACAGTCATTAACGTCTGATGAGGCTAGATCTGGTTACTAAGCGGGTTGTGACAGTAATCCGAAGCTGCTTCTGTTACGGCCACTTGGGAAGTGTGAGCAATTGCGTTATGCAAAAGATGGACTCCCGCTGCGAGCTTCCATTTACGGTTTTCCTTTACTGCTTGTTTCAGTTGGCGCAAACCTTTGGTGTAATACTCAACTGTGATGGCCTGCTCCCTCATCAGAAGGGCTGTCGTGATTGGATCTACATTGTCCCAGAAGACAGGTCATCACCTATCCCACCGACGCCATTTGACGAAACTCCTTTGGCTGAGAAGATCCACTGTGCTTCCATTGTTTACATTGGGTCCTTCATTCTGTTTTAATGTTATGGACCCAAATTTCACCCTAGGCAACAAATCTTTTGAAAAAATACATGAAGTTTGCTTTGAAACTGGTCAAAAGTTGCATCGAATTTCTCAACCTTTTCATTTTCTTATCAGATGTCAACATACTTGGCACCCATTTTGCAGTCAACTTTCTCATCGCCAATATGTTTGTTCAAACCGTATGCACTGAGCTATAAATGATACCTATAATCATAGCTACCTGAGAAATAGATAAGCTTCTATCACTAAATATCAGACCTTTATTGCATCTTCAATGTTATCCCTGCCCGTCTTCTTATTCGCAACCCACTCCTTAACAGTGGGATATGAAGAGGGATCCTCACCATGTGTCTAAATCATATCAGATTGCATTTCCGTTGGCGTTATGACTTTTTATTGCAGGTGCTTGATCATAGCTCAGCCTGCAATTTTATCCGTTTTTAAAAATGGTTTAACCAAGGTCAGTTCATTAGATCTTCACATGCAAACAAATAAACATAGCAACTTGAGACTTGGCCCTAATATCTTCAGGATACTTGCATAAAATATTCTTTCCATTCATTTACTTCTCTGTCGGGCCGAGAACGTTTTGTTCCACCACTGTACCAATAGACTATCACTGCCGCCGTGTAGGTGGCAGCTGAACGAAGTGTCGGGGTAATGAAGGCGAAGGGGATTTGAGCTGGAACGATCAGTGTCCCCATAATGCAGAGGAAGCAGTGATCCAGTGTTTTTGTAGGGAATTAAGATGTCAGTCACCCACGCGCAATTGTGGTAAGTTTTCGCTGCACTTGCACGAGAACCTCGGTAAGGGTGGGTTGGAAATAGTGGCATTAACAATGTACAAGTGGAGAAGGCGTCGAAAGTAGATTACTATGACGAAAGACTACATTTGCGGTATACAGTGAGTTAGAAAACGTACGCGGGTGAGTGTCAACTGGTTCTGATCAGCTGCCCAGCACCAAAACGGAATAATTGCGCACTCAACGCTCAAACAATCTCCACTGTAACACTTTTCTGTACCATTTGGTACGCGACAGCCTCATCAGGTCAACATACGTCGATCTGTTGTGGGTTTGGCTCTGCCAAAGTGAAACTCTTCTAGCTCACATCTTGGCTGCTTAATTGTTGAATTGCGTTGCAACCAACGGCAAACCGATAAGTAACCACACCGATGAATCGATGTGGATCGTTGTACCACACAGAACGTCTTGTAGCGGTGCGACGCTGTTGGTAAGGCTGTCGCAACTGCATGTGCACATCAATCTATCTACAAAATATAGTAGCAGCTGCCCTATAGGAGTTTCACCCATTCTAAGCACGCTCCTCATACCACCTTGGAAATTCAATACTCGTCTTACTCGGGTTGGAATTGCAACAGGGAAGTTATTGAATTATGTGTCCCATGATCAACCCACCCTTCCGCTTATTCTTCTCTCGACGTCGCTACTAACAATGCTTAAAACCCCCGCTCTACGTCACTTCAGTGCCGCTGCAGTAATATCTACTGGAGCAGCAGTGCAATGCAATTGTCCTCTATATGTCACGGCCCCCCCCCCGCTTGGTCTGATATTTGTTCATGGATTGTTGCTTTTTATTGGGTTGTGAATTCGTTCATTTATGGCTTCGCCAATCTCAACTCTAATGGGCACTGTTACATTGGCTCCATTTTTATTCTCTTTAAAGAACGAAGCCAGTCCGGTTATCTCCAGTCACCCTTGGACGACGATCCATTCGCTTTGAATTGGTTGACTTCTGGACCGACTGGCTCATTGGGACGCAAGTGGAAGCCTCAGGTGTACACTGGTGCGTGATATGTATCTGACTTTCGCAATCCTTCCATGATTCTATTGTCACAATGTCCGCCCAGTAGCGTCCACAAGTTCATCTGCTGTAGGTCTAGCTACATTGGATGCGCGATTAGGCACTTAGGAAGGGGGTCAAGGAATAGCTACCGAATCCGCTTATTAACCTCGGCACAGAAATAATTTACGTACAACAACTAACCACGTGAGCAGTACTGAGTGTCAAATTTACAGCCGATTTGCAACTGACCGTCAGTTAAGAGCACTACTTTTTCTACCGCTGAAGCCCTAATCATCATATTGACAAGATCGAATCTGTACATTTGAAAGAAATTCTTTTAATTATTGCAAGCTCCATAGCAACCCAAATGAGTGGGCCCACCGAACAATGCTTGGTTCTTCCAATCCCCAGCTTGTCTGGAGCACATCCTAACATATAGGCTTTACGATCTCCGGGCGTGAATTGAACTTCAGGCCAGGCTACTGAAGGGTATTGGAAATTGAGATAATGGGGACGATTCATGTGGTTTTGAAGATGCGGCAGCCAATCCAAGCAGCGACTCAGGGGAATGCTATAAACGGCACCCACAGGCAGCTGTCCGCGCCTGAGGTGGATTCTGCACCACAGCTTCTCACACAGGCCACCGCCACCTCTGTAGGTGCTTACAAATCTCTCAAACGTTTGTGTAGTGCTGTTCAGGTGCTCTACTGTCCCATAAGCACAAGAAACGGCAATATTTTTTGTAAAGCCCCCTTGCATACCCATTAGGAGTCCAATGATATTGAAGTCAGCACAGATGTTCCAACATTGCGGCCAGTATCTGTTGCATACTTTCGTAAGTCTCCTTCATATTGTTAGCATACAACAGAGGCACAGTTGGACACACATTTCCATTGTGGAGCAGTATGGCCTTTAGACTACTTTTGCACGAGTCAATGAACAAACGCCATTCATCACTCTTATGCCTAACGCCTAGGTCCTTCATCAATCCTTCCAAGCCGGAACAGTACCAAAAGGTTTCTCTCGTGTTATAGAAACCGGACAAGTTAACCCTTCGCTATCTGTATGCCTTAGTGTTTGCAGCAAGTAAGTGTCATTACTGCTGCCGAGGTGCCAGCAACTCGGTCTTGTCTTTAAGCAAGCCCAAGTCACGTACCAAATCATTCAGCTCTGATTGTTCAATATGATGTTGCTTGGCAACATCAGCTTCAAATTTTTCACAGATGTCAGAATCAGGGGAAGTTGACGATGCGGAACACTACTCATCATCAGTCTCATGTTCACTGCAGGCACCGGAATGGATAAGCTGCAATCATGAGGAACAGGTCGAATAGCTGATGGAAGATCGGGGTAATGGATTTTGTCCCTGTTTCGGTTGGAACTTCCAATGACACTGGTTAGGCAGAAGTAGCAGTCTGTCGTGTGATCTTTCGGTTCCCTCCACACTATGGGAATCGCAAAGAACATCTTGCCTTTGCTCTTGAGTCACTGATTCAGATGAAGATTGTGCGACACAAACAAGTTGTGGCGTCCATTTCTTATCCTGATATCCTAGTTTCATCCCGAAATATGCGTGGTTGACAGACTTCAGTAGTGAACAAATGGGTACGCATTGCGAATTTGTAGTAAATTGTCCACAGACGTAATAAAAATGATTTCGGTCATTGACATAACAGCGTCTTTGAGCCACGATCAAGATATCAATTAAAGAAACACAGCTCTCAATCGACTTTTAGTATCAGGTGGATACTATGGTCAAGAGGACTTCTTTTCCATGGCTACAGGGGGCCAATGGACCAATCACAGGCGAGTATTTGATGCATAGAATGTGTTGCTTAGCTTGACTTAAAAAGTTAACATTAAACAAACATTTGGTTTGCATATTCGTTATCAGTTCACTTGGTACTACTAGAAACATTCTATCTCATTTCTGTTCTAATAATGATGTGCACAGTATAGTTTTCGGAAGTTTATTCTAGAACTTTGAGTACTCAATCAGGAATAGTGTTCTCCTATTATTGTTATGACCCTCGGAACGGTGATTTTCGGCTCCTTTTTGCGTATCTCTTATCTGGTGGTTAAAGACAAAAGAACACTATCGCCGACAGTGTATGCAAGACGGTGTATGGTTCCGATAGAATGCAAAGCTTAGGCTTCATTTTCCTAAGACAAATGCGATCAAATCCAGGAGTGCAGCAGCGTTCTCTGTATGTCGTTTTCTTGGAATATCCAACTAATTTTTTGTCAACTACCTCTGAACTCTATGCAGAGCAAGCTGATCTGCTCTCTCTAGATGGATCTAGACCTTTGAGCAGTACTCCGTCCATAGTTTGTGACATATATGCTTTATAGAGTTGAACCTATGACGCTGAACAGAAATGTCGACGAGTATATCCTGTACTATTCGTAACCTTCGATTTCTGAAAGTCACATACCTCTGAAAAGTAAGTGCGATCGAATATCACACACCCAAACCACGGTCGATACTGTGTTGCGAGATGGGTGTTCCATACAACAAAAGGCTGTTTACTGGCGCTTGGCATTCGTACAACAAAACGCTAGGTTTGCTGACGGTAAACCACCTTTACAAAATGTTCCACCGGGATTCAGGTGCAGAGATTGTCTTGACTGCATTGTACCATTTGTTAGTTATCTGCACCGCACCATTCCTCGTACTCTGTAGTCTGTCATTTACGTAGATGATGAAGAGTAAGGGAGCAAGGACGCTCCCATGACCGTTTTGATTTCGAAATACTGTTTCCAGTATATACTAGTGCTCTACTTCACTATGACACTCAGTAGAACTGCTTTAATCTTAATAATCTCTGATGAGGCACTCCTTCGAAAGCTTTCTGTTTGTCCGATAAGAACACCATAACATTCTGTAATAGTTCGCGCAGGACCAATCTTGCAGGAACCCGTGTTGTGAATTGTAAATGATGCTTCCTCTATTGGAAGAGCTGAATAATTCTATTTTTACAGAGGATTAGTAGGGGGAGTTGAATGGTATAATGGTATACCAATTCTATTTTTAATAATTATATCCTTTACTCTATGATTTATGGACTAGAGTTTCTAACCTCATAAGTAAATCCGCTTCGGTGCCGTGGTATAATAACTGTGGACTTCCACTGCGTAGGATATACTCATTTATTGAACGACAGGGTGGATGTGTTAAGCATTACTAGAGCTACGTCGTTTCCACTTGTTTCAGCAATACAAAAAAGATAAGATACTAAAAATAATTACAAAGAATTCAAAAATCAAGTAATATCATTCAAATTTAAACTTGGCGAACCCGCTTTGTGGTTGGATTGCGACGCGCAACCTCTATTGAGACCTCGGTCATTCCGATCGCAATGACCGTACCCGAAATGGTAATATTTGGGTGTTGCTCCTCCTAACATTGGCACACCACGACCGCACTTTCGTCCTGGTTTGGACTCATCAGGTGGAGATAGCCTGAGTTTGGTTGGAACTCAGAGCCTAGTGATTCACGGCTGACGCCCTGGACACTATGCCACAAGCAACGCTTAGCACAGCGGAAAGGAATTCAAAGTTAACTTGGAGAACCCGCTTTTATTAGTTTGCTATAACATCGTGGTTGGAAGGGAAACTAAAAGAGGGGAATGAACATAGAAATTCACAGCACAAATGCCATTGGGGGCGGCACCCAGTTCTTATCTGCTTTCGATACGGTCTCATTAGCCGAATTGACCTACGTTCACTTCGAAAAGAATCGCACCCCATATTACGATTACGCCTCATGGTCTATTCGCACAACACATTTCAGAATGACCTCCCAATTGATCTGACTGTGTTACTCCTTCACTGTCTTCTTTTGTTGCGGCACCTTATCTATATTACTTGGTAGCCCACAGCAGTATCCGATGCTAACCCTACGTTTTTCTATTCTCTCGGTTCCACTCCCAGCTGATTTACTTGCTGTCGTACCTTCAGACCATCTGCTTGACCCTTCTATATGAACTGGGTCCCCCAATGACCCGAGACCCATCCTCACAATTTACTCACGTAGTAACCGAAATCCCCGACTTCGGTTGAGGGCCTTTTTGAGTTGCACCGATCATTTCCCACTTGTTTTAGTGTGCTCTGATCAATTATTTGATTTTCGTCTGTCCATCAGTCTCCTAGCCCTAACCTTCCAGTTAGTTGGTCCTTTACCGCTTGCCTCCGAGTACACGTGGATTTCCCTCGGTTGTTTTCCTTCTCCTGAATCTCTGATGTAATGTGTTACCAGAAACTCATCACTAATTAACATTGGGCGGTCTTTTTGTGATATTTTGAGCGTCGTTTCTCGCCCTTATCACGAACACAGTGCGGCAGATCTATCTTTGCCTCCCTATATCTTACACCAAACAACACATTACCGTACACTTTCCAGATTATCTTATAAATAATATCCAACAGGTGCATCAAATGTCTACGTCGGTTTTGCGTTTTTCTCGGCTCACTTCTAAACCAGGTATCACTTCTCTCTAGGTCTTTCAGGAGTCCCAGAAGACGGCGAAAATTTTTCTGAGGGAGCTTCGTCAAACGACGCATCATCAACCGCCTCCACAGTTCCAAAACGCGGCGGTAACGTTGCACAGGTAGCTATTGCTAGTTCATTCGCACTTGCTGCTTTTGTCGTATTCTGACTTTGGGATCATATTTGGCCTGGATTCACCGAGTTTTATGCAATGCACGGGTGCGTGCACCAATACATTTTTTCTTCATTTGTGCTGTGACCGGTTCGCACCTGTCGTATTTTTTTAGTGTGAGGTTAGTGTTGGTGTCGTTATTCGATACCGTCTTATTTTATTATCGGGTCTTAAAATATGGAGAATTCACATACCTGCGTAGATTTTAGTCATTCGACTATCTTCAGCCCTTCCGGTCTCAGCACTATGAACACACGAAGCCCGTCTCTCTGAAGACTCTACACAGTATTGATGATGTACTCCCTAGCAGGCCACTAAACTATAGTATCTGCTTCTCATTTTGATTTCATGATCATTTTATGATCGAAGTACACTGTCCTCGATGATGTTCCTTTGTGCTTTGCTAGTCATCCGAATAACTCGAAACCAGTACGATGCGCCACCCTTGAACTGAGTTTCGTCAACTTTTTCTGCTCAATATCGTGATTTTCCTCAGGATAACACTTTCTTATTTGACCAGCAGTCATGTAGGTGCACGTTTCACCTCGGTGGGACATTGCATTCCAGCAGGTGTGCTGACTTCATGGGAGTATTGGGCCCTGTTTGGTAATCTACCGAACAAAGACGCATGAACTGAACATTCAGTCAACGCCTCCCAATGGGCGCGATTCCCAAAATTCGCCCCGCTGCCTTACGGGTAGGTTATTTAGCCAAAGGCTCGGGGTGAAGTCCCCTAAGTCAACTCCCTACTTCGGCTTGAGCAACCGGGTAGTATCACGCCCTCTCGCAAAACCGTGGACTGTATTACAACTTGCTCATCAGCTGCTGTTTCTGCTAGTCACTTTCACGCGACTTCATCACACGCGAATTGTTTGTTTGTTAACAATCCTCACTTTCCGTTACCCGATTCATGTGTTCAACAATCTGGCTGCGATTCCGGTTGCGCAGACCAAGGAGTTCAACCTATTGCTATCCTTCGTCCTCGTTCCGTCTGGTGTGCTTCAACGTTCGGACACTCATGCAGATTGGACAGCAAGCCGGTCTATCGCGCACCCTAGATTCCCTAGACATTGATGTCTGCTGCCTTACAGAAACCCGATTGCAAGATCCCAGTACTATGCTTACATTGACATCCCCCACTGACCACGAAGCCTGCGTCTTTCTCTACATCCAGCAGCAGCCTCAGCGGGTCTGGCTGGTGTAGGTATAGCACTGAGTGACAAGGCCGAGGCGGCACTACTGGACTGGTTCCCGATTAACAGCCGATTATGTGCAGTTCGGCTTCGGGGTTCATGTAGCATCAACAGGCACCGCGAAGAGAGACACAACTTGTTTGTGATCTCCGTGTACGCTCCAACTGACTGCAGTGGCGACTCGGTCAAGGACGAATTCTACCGGGATCTACAACAGCTCTTGGCTAATGCTAAAAAGTCGGATGTCGTTATCCTTGCTGGGGATTTTAATGCACGGGTTGGCCGCCTGTTACCATACGAACGCCACCTTAGTGGTCATCACTCGCTCGATGAGAACCGCTCTGATAACGGAGAGAGACTTCTCACATTGTGCGAAGACAACCGTCTGTTTCTTTCGAGCACTAACTTCAGGCGTACGAAGAAGCGTTCCGCAACGTGGCGTCCCCCTTCTTCAACACAACCATGGTCTCAAATTGATCACATTGCAATTAGCTTCAGATGGCGTGGCAGCGTACTGGACTGCAGGTCCTTTTGGTCCACCTTCGTTGACTCAGATCATGCTCTGGTCTGCGCGAAAATCTATGTGTTTTGGAGGATCCCGAAACACGAAGCACCGCAAGATTGATGTAAACAGATTAACTGATTCCTCTGTCCAGGCGAGCTATCAGTCTTCACTGGCATATGCGCTCAGTTGCACACCACCGCAAGAAGTGGAACAACACTGGCCTTGTATACGGAAGGCAATGACCATTTTCGGACAGTCATGCTGCGGCATAACTCGACACCCCTTGAAGGCTTGGATCACTGCTCGTTCTCTGGAGCTGTTCGAACGCCGCAAAGATATCCCCGCGGAACCAGATTGCAACGAGCGGCGCCGTTCTGCCAACCGGCTGCTCAAGCAAAGCCTACGAAGGATCGCGAGGCATGATGGTCTGAACGTGCTTTAGAGATGGAGACCGCTGCCCTCTCTGGCAACACTCGCAGGCTTTTCCAACTCATTCGGTCCACTGGCCTCAGGAAGCCTGGTGTCAATGAGGTCATTTGTAAGGTAGATGAGTCTCCGATCACCAACCAACAGAGTCGTATATACCGCTGGGTCAAGCAATTTCACTCGCAGTTCAACTGGCCTGTACCACCCATCAGTGCATGCAGTACACTTTGTTGTCCACCCTGGCTCGTCCCTCTGAATCCACCCAGCGAAGCGGAAGTCTGCTTCGAGATTCGACGCTTGAAGCGCTTCAAGGCTGCTGGCTTAGACGGACTTCCTCCGGAACTATTCAAGTACGGCGGTGTGGTGATCATTAACCAGCTGACCGCGCTGTTCGCAAAAATTTGGCATGAAGATAAAGTGCCTTCCTCTTGGGGCGAATCAGTTAATGTCCCGATTTTCAAGAAATGCGCTCGCACTTCATGTGTAAACCATCGCGGGATTAGTCTTATTTCGGATGCCTCTAAGCTATTGGCATCCATTCTGCTTCGCAGGCTATCCCCAGTACGTGAATCATACTACCGTGAAGAACAAGCTGGTTTCCGTCCTGGCCGTGGATGCGTAGATCAATTCTTCACGCTCCGCCAGCTCCTCGAACATCGCCACATTTATCATAGGCCCACTATCGTTGCATTCTTAGACATACGTGCCGCTTTTGACTCCGTTGATCGACCTGCTTTATGGCGTTGCTTACTAAAGTACGGGGTGCCAGAGAAATATACCGCCATCTTACGAGCACTTTACCTTCATACGTCCGGCAGAGTGAGGGTCTATGGCAAGCTTTCCTCGCAATTCGCTGTCAATAGCGGTGTGCGACAGGGCTGCCCTTTGCCCCCATTTCTCTTCAACTTCGCAATCGAAGACGTTCCGTCGAGTGCTCTAGAAGGTTTCCAACATTTGGCTTAGAGCTTCTACCGGGTGAGCGCGCGGCCGACTTAGACTATGCTGATGATATCGCCTTACTTGGTGACGATCCTCAGGGTATGCAACTCATTCTGCATCGTTTGGCGGTTGAAGCATCTAAGTATGGCATGAGCTTCGCCCCATCGAAGTGTAAAGTACTGCTCAAGGATTGGCTTTCACCTGCTCCCGTGCTCACTCTCGAAGGTGTACAACTTGAACAGGTAGATAGTTTCGTCTTCCTTGGGAGCTGTATTTCTGCTGACGGCACTATCAACAAGGAAGTTTCTCTTCATGTCGCTAAAGCTCGATCAGCATTTGTCAATCTGAGGCACTTGTGGCGTCGTCGCATTCTCGCTAAAGGGCCGCGTTTACAGCGCATCAGTTCGCTCAGTATTGTTGTATGGGTGCGAGTCCTGGCCGATTCGCGTGGAAGACATGCGTCGTCTTTCTGCCTTCGATAACGGTTGCTTAAAGAGGATCACTCGTGTTTGGTGGCAACATCGAGTTAATACTAATGACGTTCAACGTCGCATCTTGGGGAATGCGAGTACTCCCTTCAACAACCTGGTTTTGTTGCGCCAGTTAAGGTGGCTCGGTCGAGTCCTACGCATGGCACCTGAGCGTCTACCGCGTCGCGCTCTATTCGCTCGTCAAGGACCTGGCTGGAGGCACCCGCCTGGTGGTCAGCCTTCCACTTGGCGGCAGCACATGAAATCGCTGACGTCGTGTCTATCCGCTGTTGAATCCGTACGTCTTCCAGGATGGGGACCCAAAGATGAGGAGTGCCAGTGGCTTAGCACTCTTGGAGATATGGCCCGCAACCGGAATCAATGGAAGAATTGTGTACAATATTGTATTGATTCACATGTTTAATACTACAAACATTGAAAATGACAATAAAGGAGCAAAAGCGGCGTGTGAAAAACAAACTAAAAATGTTTTGTTCTACTTTTTGTCACAATGTTCCATTCTTCCTGCGGCATATTAATTGTAGTGTGTTGCTCACCTTCAACTAGCATGCCACGATGATTATGCCGCGATGAATCTTGCATGTCTGCTGATCTCCATGGTTTTATGCTGGCTCTATGTCTAGTTGATAGACTGTTGAGATGGTTGGCGGCATCCGGGTTCGGATTTGCCTGTCACTGTGGCCAGCCACAGGACGCCTGCGCCTACAGAGGGACCATGGATGGCTTGCGCTGCACCACCCACAGCTCCAACCACACACCCCCATATCCAGTGTAAACCCGAGGGAATAAGACCGGGAGGCATGTGGATGGGAACCACGTTTCATCAACGGAGCCGGCCCACACTCCTTCACAGGCAAACACAAGCACACTGTATTTGGGAATCAAGCGCACACAAGGCGGTGGCTGGACCGTAGTCCGCTCCACACTGAGTGCATGGAACCACTCTTCGAGCCTAACACGGCCGCAAGGATCGTGCACCCCGTACCCTCAGGCAACGACCAACTGTCTCCTAGAGCCAGTATGGACGAGGTAGTGGGTAATGGACAGGTAGGCACCTTGTCAACATGCACATCAAGCGCAGCCACATCGGGGATATCAAGCAACAACCAATCATTTGAAACGACAAAATGAAATAAAATGGATCCAATAATGCATACAGATACGGTGGCATAACTTCGCTAAATTAGCATATGAAGTAATTTGGTTAGCAATGAATCCGCGGTAAGAACAAAAATGTCCACACGTTACTCAAAAATGCTACAAACGCAACAAAATTACCGAAGATAAGCGCAATTAGCGTAAACAACGTGGCCAGCTAATAGAAGACTATTCAGAAAGGCAAAACAAACCAAATAAACTGGAATGAAACTTATGCAGCTTAAAGAGACCTAGTTTAAGTGTAAGTTGGTTTAGTCCGACTGCGGTGAAGAAGCTTTAAGAATG